CTCTGTCTGGACAGTGCTGATTGGCCCTGTGCTGATTGCATGCACTCTTCCAAGAGAAAAAAAACTCTGAGCATGTGCAGCTTTCCCCAAAGGCTCTGTTCTAGCAGGAGATGAGTTGGGGACAATGGAAGAAGGGGGGATCAGTGAAGACAGGATTAAACATCCTTTTTACACAAAGCAGAGGATTAACTCTGGTGGAAGTAGTGGGTGGTAGTGGGGGCCCCAGGTCAGCGTTTGCATCGGGGCCCACAAGCTTCAAGTTACGCCTCTGGTTACAGCAGTCTTGTTACTTCTATCAGTGTCCAGCAGAGCACTGGTTAGAGCTTGTAAGAGGAGTTTTCATTCTCCTCCCACTGTCCTATGAAACTGCAGGACCCCTGACCCTCTGTCTGGACAGTGCTGATTGGCCCTGTGCTGATTGCATGCACTCTTCCAAGAGAAAAAAAACTCTGAGCATGTGCAGCTTTCCCCAAAGGCTCTGTTCTAGCAGGAGATGAGTTGGGGACAATGGAAGAAGGGGGGATCAGTGAAGACAGGATTAAACATCCTTTTTACACAAAGCAGAGGATTAACTCTCTTTATTGCATATACAGATTGATTTCCCAGTTGAGGGTTTAGTAAGACTTTAAATCTGTATCCGGGTCCTCCAGGTCTCCGAGTCTGTGTTTTTCAGGGAGACACGGACCTGAATCTGAAGTAAAACTATTCCAAAGTTCCCCAATTACACAAATCCAAAAGAATAGAGTCCCCTCAAACCATAATCAGTAGGCAAGAGGCTAGCCTGCAGTCCCCTCCAAAAGCCATCCAAAAGCCCCTGTCACAGTATCTTACAACAGTCTTTTCAGTTTTTTTTTTCACGTTACGTTAAAATCACAATAGTACATTTTGTTTGCCCAAATCTATTTCCAATTTTAACTAAGAGAATTTCATACCCCCCCCCCCAAAAAAAAAAAAGAAAGATCTGAAATTGACTACATTTGGGGGAAAATTATGACCACAGATAAGGCTAAGCACCTCTCATCTGATGACAAAACTTTCTACCAGATATTTAGAAATGTTCTGTAACAGCAACAATAAAATATATTCTAATGTTTATCATTGATTGTAGAGTGCAAAGAGTCCAAAATAAAATGACTATCCTAATCACCAACTGTCTGCATCAACCTCAGAACTGCATGAAACATAAAATCCGACAACTTAATTTAGCCAAATGCAACAAATTGTATTATACCACAAAGTTACCTTATAGGGCATTTTGGTTCAAGGACTATTAGCGACCAACTTTCTGTGTGAATTTATATGTGTATGTGTGAGAGTGAGAGTGCTGTTTGCTTTTATTCTATTAACTATAATACTCTGTATTGTAAGCTCTAACGAGCAGGGCCCTCTGTTTCCTCTTGTACCAAATTGTATTGTAACTGTAATGTCTAGCTTCATTTTGTAAAGTGCTGCGCAAACTGTTGGAACTAATTAAATCCTGTATAATAATAATATTGAGAATCTCAAGCATTCCTGTTGGGCTCTTTGTCTTGCTATGTACATCACAAAGCATATTATATCACCCTCTAACTTTCTTACCAGAATTTAATAAGGCAGTATTGCACTTACTTATTGGGGAAGGATTTTTACCACACTATCCCATGTCCAGTAAAAAAGTGCCGCAGATGGATCTCACTCTTGCAAATGAGGGGAGAGGAGCTCATGCTACAGAATAGGGCATTGATGTGCCCAGCAAACTGGTCAGGATTCTAAAAGATGCCTTTACTGGTTCAATAAAAGCCTATCAATTCACCTAGTGCACAAATAACCAAGTATTTGCTCACAACATATTATTACTGGTTAGGAGTGAAAATAGTTAAGAGTGCAGTAGCTATAGTTGTCGCCATGGTAGGATGAGAATCAGGGGTGGACTGAAAACTTATGGGGCCCCCGGGCAATAGGGGATCATGGGGCCCCGTGTCCTTGCCCAAACTCAAAAAAGCCTATGAAATAGGTACCAGGGGCATCTCATGGGGCCCTTACTGACCCCGGGCCCTCGGGCAGTGCCCGAGCTTCCAAATGGTCAGTCCGCCCCTGATGAGAATGCCGGTCTACATTTTCCGTAAAGTGAATCAATTCTTTAACACAACAGAATTTTCTCTATTAAATTATGTAACAATTTTCATACATGACTCCCACTGTCACTTTAGATGAATGCAAAAACTAAACCACTGACATTAATAGTATTTCTAAAGTTGCATTTCAAGAATAATAATGAAAGCAAATTGTACGAGGAATCCTCAAAGCAGTAAGCTTCCCTATCTGAATTTGTTTATATTTCTGCACTGTATGTTAACAGATATCCTCTATTACATTGCACTGCTGGAAGTATAAACAGTGTATAAATAGACAAGTTATGTTATAGAAAAGCAAATTGATAGTTTTATTCCAGAGGCATCATTTCGTTTTAGTGCTTGATCACATGTATGATAAATACTTTAAGGTATACAAATCCTTGGATTACGGAATTATCTTGCCTTTTCATGATAATTCCCACTGTGAATTTGTCATGCTGTTCAGCCTCCCAATTTGATTTAATAAATAGGAGTTCTATACCAACTGATTCATAGTTATGAATATTTATTAACACATTTTACCCAGATGTTTAAGCAGCCAAACTAAGATAAAAATGAATTAGCCATAAAATAACAAAAGCAGCTATTACTGCAATATTCAACTTCAATCCAGAGATTACCACACTACTTTTTTCTGTAACTAGATATCCTCAGTCTAATGGCCTACAAAATTCAACACACTACCTCTGAGTCCAGGTAGTCTTGGACCACCCGGCATGTGACTGGACAATGAAAAAAGAAGCAGTAGAGTAATGAGCTCTTATTTCTGTCACACTGCTTTCACAATGTCACCATGCTTTTTGTCAGTACACAAATCAATTGATTCCTTGTACTGCTTCTTCCTTTCCCACTCAAGCTCTACTGTACAGGGACTGCAGTAGGAAAATACTAAGTAAAATTTGGATACTGACACTAATAAATATATGTATGGATGCACTGTGATTGCAATGCTACATTAATTTGTGTTGTTTATATCTGCCTAGAAATAACTTTAAAACATAATACATTAAATAATTAAAAAAAAATTCTTAAGTAGAAGCCAAAAAAAAACACTTTTTTTTTTATTTGCTGGGTGCAGCTTAGTTACCTCTAATTTTCGGTTTTCAAAATCAAAGGTCTCTACCTGAGGCTATTTAAATGCTTGTATGACAAATGCTGTATGCACATAAACTTCAGTCAACAGTTCTAGTAATTTTTAATCTAGAGGCAAGGTTCATCATTTACAATATTGCTTTCATTAACTCATCCTTCTTGACTCAAATTGAACACAAAGCTTTGAAGGAATACTGTAATGTTTGCTTTCCTCCAATGTTTCTTACATTTTTGAAAGAGGCCAGTATGTTGAAGGTCCCTAGAAAACCTGTCCATGTATTCAGGATACAATGTCTGGCACCACACATCGAGTAAATATTGAGGGAGTGGTACTTTTTGCGGTTGCAAAAGATTATTTCCCTGTGTCTGGATGGCATCAAAACAATTTAGGTGCAATTTATTGCCCTCAGAACATTTATGAAATGAGCTTCCTTTTTAAAAAAAACTATCTTGAAACTATCTTAAAATGATAAATGCACATTTTTTTTTACCTGAAAAAGGTGAACTTATCCATTAAGCCGATTAGTAAACCTGGGCCTAGTTACTTTTTTACCTCTGTCTACCTTTACCTACTTTATTTTAAAGTAATGACAATTTTTTTAGTTTGTTTTACTAAATGACCTGGTGCTTGCATTCATTACTCATTGATTAATTCATTATTCATCAATAGCATTACAGTTGAGTACTAATGTCACTGTCAGTAATTTCTCTGTGAAATTGTGTTTTATGAAATTGTTTGTTAGAAGGGCTGAAGTATTAGGGAAGGTCGAGGCCAGCAACAGAGGATCAATCTTAAAGTGTTACTAAATCCAAGACCCCGCATTCACTATATCTGGTCTCCCACAGTACAATATTGTTTCCATTAACTCATCCTTCTCGAATCAAATTGAACACAAAGCTGTGAACGATTACTGTAATATTTGCTTTCCTCCAATGTTTCTTACATTTTTGAAAGAGGCCTGTATGTTGAAGGTTCCTAGAAAACCTGTCCATGTATTCAGGATACAATGTCTGGCACCAAACATCGAGTAAATATTGAGGGAGTGGTACTTTTTGCGGCTGTAAAAGCTTATTTCCTTGTGTCTGGGTGGCATCAAAACAATGTAGGTGCAATTTATTGTCCTCAGAACATTCATGAAATGAGCTTCCTTATAAAAAAAAACTATCTTAAACTCCCATGGTGAAAATTATGAAACTTTTACTCCATGCCTTACTCCATGCCAACTTGTATAGCTTAATTTAAAATCCTTTTTGGGGCATTTTTATGTGGCTAAATTCATGTGATTTGGTAATGGAGTACTAATAACACACAGAGCTGGCTTCCTTTCCTTAAAGGATAAGTTCACCTTTTGTAACCTGTCACATTCAGGGTGTAAATTGTAACATGTTACAGATGCACCAGTCTTTCCACCCCCCATCCCCCATTTTGACAGTATGTGAGGGATCTCCCCACCCAGCTCCGTCATTCATTCACAGTGTTCTTTGAATGTGAAATCTACAAGTACTGACAGCCTTTGCGACTTTCTTGCCAGAGTTCTTCCTCAAGTTCTCTACTTCTTGAACTGGGAGTATCTGGAAGCCACTTTGCCTCACCTTTAGTACAGCACCGAAAGGGCCCTTAACCACACCGGCAAAAAAATAACTTTTTTTTCCTCATTTTTGGAGATTTTTCCTCCCTATTAATACTATTTACATAGTCTTTTGACATTTTTCTTACCTTTCGGGAACACTGCAGGTGGACCTAGACCTAGCAAAGTCATTCCAAGGCCTAAGGCAGTGTAGCCTCCAGGGGTTTTATACCAGGGCTTGAAATTTCCACTCGCCTGCGCGCTAATGGTGAGTGGAAATTATGGTGGGGGCGAGTGTGTCCCTTAGGGCCGTTTTGCTGAGCAGGCTCGGAGCTCAGACCGGATCTGTCATTGGCACTGGGAGTCGTCAGACTGCTCAATAGCTGAAAGCAAAGCAAGGAGTGTGTGCTGTGCTCTCTGCCTCCCCCTAGAGTTCAGTACCTTCTTCTGTGAGTGAACAACGAAGTACTGCAACTTTTTATGGGGGGGGGTGGTATGTGTGTGTGTGTGTGTACATGTACATATACATGTGTGTGTGTTTGTGTGTGTCTGTGTATGCATGTACAATTGTACATGTGTCTGTGTGTATGTACATGAGTGTATCTGTACATGTGTCTGCATGTATGTACATGTATGTGTGTGTGTACATGTGTCTGTGTGTGTGTGTGCATGTACATGTGTGTGTGTGTTTATGTACGTACATGTGTCTGTGTGTACATGTGTCTGTGTATGTATGTACATGTGTCTGTGTATGTATATGTGTCTGTGTGTATGTACATGTGTCTGTGCGTGTGTATTTCTGTGTATGTACATGTATCTGTGTGTATGCGTGTCTGTACGTGCCTGTGTGTGTATACATGTGTCTGTATGTGTGTATATGTGTCTCAGTGCGTGTGTGCGTGTGTGTACAGGTTTCTGTGTGTGTGTGTGTGTGTGTGTGTATGTGTGTGTATGTACATGTCTGTGTGTGTGTACAGGTGTCTCAGTTTGTGTGTGTTTGTTGGTGGCGAGTAACTCTAAGGCCTGGCTAGTAGCTCAGGACTTGAAATTTTAAGCCCTGGTTTACACTATCTGTTTCTGGCTGCCCTTACGATACTCTAGGTCAGTGATGGTGAACCTATGGCACCGTGCCAGAGCTGGCACGCAGAGCCATCTCAGTGGGCACGCCAGCAAGAAGAGGAAGATGAGAGCACATGGACCATGTACACTGACCGGCCATCCAGATCTCATCCGCACTGGACCCCCATTGAACTACATCTCCCACATGTCTCTGGGGCCAGGGTGGGCGTGGACGAGAGGAAAACGGCTCCTATGCGGCTCTGGCACCAGGGGTGATGTAGCCGGGGATGGGCGTGGAAGAGAGGAAGAGGCTCCCACACTGCTCCGGGGCCAGCGGTGACGTGTTTAGCGTGGATGAAAATGAGCTGCTGGGTTGGAAGCCACACTGACACTGCCAGAGGTAAGAGGTGCTTGCCAACCATGCTATAGCCGAAAGATGGCTACAGCACAGTTGTCTAGTTCTGGGAGGGCGTCCCAGAACGCGAACCCAGTGGCACACACCCTGCGCTGCCGCAGATCGCTGTGTCCTACGGATACAGCTGATCACGTGATAAGGTAAAAGGCCAATCACAGCAGCCTTTTACCACGTGATCAACTGTATCAAATGACACAGCAGATCACAATGTAAATACAGTTGCCGGTTATCGGCTGCACGCTGTCACAGATTGAAGAAAGTACTGCAGATAACCGGCAAAGGTGACAGTAGAGATCTGCACTAATAATCAGGGCACTGATTATCAGTGCCGTTCAGCAGTGCCCAGCAATGCCGTTCAGCAGTGCCCAGCAGTGTCATCCATTAGTACCCAGAAGTGTCACCCATCAGTGCCAGGCAGTGTTGCCCATCAGTGCTGCCCAGCAGTGCCACCTGTCAGTGCTGCCCAGCAGTGCTGGCTGTCAGTGCCCAGCAGTGTTGCCCATCAATGCTGCCCATCAGTGTCATCCATCAATGATGCCCAGCAGTGCCACCGGTCAGTGCCATCTGTCAGTGCCTCCAGTTGGTGCTATCAGTCAGTGCTGCTTATCAGTGCCCATCATTGCTGCATATTAGTGCATCAACAATGCCTCCTCATCAATGCCCACCAGTGCCGCCTCATCAGTGCTACCTATCTGTGCCACCTCATCAGTGCCCATCAGTACTGCCTATCAGTGCAGCCTCACCAACGCATATCAAAGAAGAAACATTACCTGTTTGCAAAATTTTTTAATAGAAGCAAAGAAAACCTTTTTTGTTTTTAATTTTTTGCTCTTTTTTCATTTATAGCGCACAAAATAAAACACCCAGTGGTGATTAAATATCACCAAAAAAAGCTCTATTTGTGTGAAAAAAATGATAAAAATTTCATATGGTTACAGTGTTGTATGACCGCACAATTGTCATTGTCAAGTGCAACAGCACTGAAAGCTGAAAATTGGCCTGGGCAGGAAGGGGGTAGAAGTGCCCGGTAGGCAAGTGGTTAATTGCAGTGTTGGCACTTTGAAATAAAAAAGTTGCTTTTGTGTTGCAGTTTGGGCACTTGGGCTCAAAAAGGTTCGTCATCACTGCTCTAGGTAATGATACGTTTACCTTTTCTAACATGTTACATGTAACATATTAGTGCTGCAGCTGCCCTTCCCCTTGAATCCCTGCTGTGACAGCAGAGCGGGGATCTTCTCTCTGTGTCTGCTGCCAAAATTCACAAAAGATGCTCTGCCTGCTCGGCCACCCGCATCACTAACTCACAGTATGTGAACGGGAAACTACAACTAACAACAGCCTCTGCAGCCTTTCCTTGTACAGGGTACAAGTAGACAGCATACACACAGAGTCTGCCAGAGCCCAGCATAGCACCGCTGATCTGCTGATCGTGGGTGCAATGCTTTACAGGCTCACAATAAAAAAAAATGATAAATGATAAATACCTGCAAAAAGGGGAACTTATCCTTTAAGCTGATTAGTAAACCTGGGCCCAGTTACTTATTTATCCTGTATTATCCTGTATTTCATGTGTATTAATACCTTTGTTATTCATTTCACCCCTTACCTCTGTCTACCTTTACCTACTTTATTTTATGACAATTTGTTTTAGTTTGTTTTACTAAATGACCTGGTGCGTTCATTCATTTCTCATTGATGAATTAATTATTCATCAATAGCATTACAGTTGAATACTAATGTCACTGTCAGTGATTTCTCTGTGAAATTGTGTTTTATGAAATGGTGTGTCAGAAGGGCTGAAGTATTAGGGAAGGTTGAGGCCAGCAACAGAAGATCCATCTTAAAGTTTTACTAAATCCAGGACCCTGCATTCACTATATTTGGTCTCCCACAGTACACAGACATGGACGGGAAATTATGTTAGTAAATATAAACTGCTAAATACCTTTTTTCATCAGCAGTTAGAGTCTTAGGACCCCTCAGCTGAGCATTGGTTAAAGCTTGTAGGAGGAGGTTTTTTTTCTGCTCTAGTTGATGCAAAACCCCTGGCCTCTGTCTGGACAGTGCTGATTGGCCCTGTGCTGATCACATGCACTCTCCCAAGAAAAAAAAATCCTCTCTAGCAATACACAATAAACTGAGCATGTACAGAAGGGCTGTGGATTCAGTCTGTCTTATCAGCGTGGACATTTGAACAAGAGAAGGGGCAGAGAAGTCAGAATCAAACAGTCTTTTTACACAATGCAGAAGATTAACCTATTAGGTTCCACCGTGAGTATAACTAGCATGATTTACTGCATATACAGACTGATTTCACTGTTGTGGGTTCAGGAACATTTTAACTATCAACTCCTTTGCGGGTAGTGCTACAAAAATTTGTAGCAAATCTAAAAAAATATATGTGGCCTAAAATCATAGAAATCAGCTAGCTAAACTTAGAACAATTCTGCACATAAGAAAGCTGTATTAATGCTATTACCATAGTGCATCTTAAACACAAACTTATGCCAGCACACCTGGATGTCAGACTAACCTGAGCGTGTAATATTTACCAAAACTGGGATCTCCAAAACACAGAGCATATACTAATAAGAAACCATATGCATTGGCGTGGCACAAAAGAGGAGTGCAGTGGTACTGCTTGTCAGATCCTGCGCCTGTGTGCAAGTATCCAACAAAGTTTATTTCCAGAAATGATGTGATTGAATCTAGGTATATTTAATGTGTTTTATTTCAAGGTTTACATGTGTGTTTTATTTGTCCTATTGAATCTAGGTATATGTAACGTGTTTTATTTCAAGGATTACATGTGTGTTTTATTTGTCCTATTGAATCTAGGTATATTTAACGTGTTTTATTTCAAGGTTTACATGTGTGTTTTATTTGTCCTATTGAATCTAGGTATATTTAACGTGTTTTATTTCAAGGTTTACATGTGTGTTTTATTTGTCCTATTGAATCTAGGTATATTTAACGTGTTTTATTTCAAGAATTACATGTGTGTTTATTTGTCCTATTGAATCTAGGTATATTTAACGTGTTTTATTTCAAGGTTTACATGTGTGTTTTATTTGTCCTATTGAATCTAGGTATATTTAACATGTTTTATTTCAAGGATTACATGTGTGTTTTATTTGTCCTATTAAATCTAGGTATATTTAACGGGTTTTATTTCAAGGTTTACATGTGTGTTTTATTTGTCCTTGATATAGCTATGAATAGCATGGTAAAAACATAATAGAAGTTGCACGTCTTCACGCACATACAAACCAGGTTCCTAAATTGAGCAGCACTGCAGTGTCGTTGTTTGAAGATTTAGTAAATGCTGGGAAGCATATTTTTCTGTCATTTCAAATTATCCATAGTTTCTGCATATGCTTTAATAAATCAACCCCTAAATGTTAGGGCTTATCTCTACAGTATCAGGGATTGTGTGTCGTGCTACCAATGATCCAAAGAACCCTGTTATGATGTGACCCAAACTAACTTCATTTTAGCCCAGTCAATCATTGTGTTTGTGGGTCACAGTATTTAGTAGAAGTTTTAATATCACTTTTATTACTTCATAGATTAGTAGTGACTATAATTTGTTTTACATTGGATCTCTTCATTATAATCTTTTTATTTGTATTTTTATTACTTTTAAAGGAAGATTATATAACTGGAAGTATAAATTTTAGAGCAGACTTGGCGGATTTAGATTATAACTGAATTAGGTCAACGTTACATAAAGCATCACAATATCCTGCTTTGTTATGTATACTAAAAAACATTTATTATCTTACCAAAAATACTTTGAGCTAAAATTGAACTAGTAATGTTATCCAGGTACAGTGCAATTGTCCATCATTACCTTTACCTTAAGTTTTATATAGTCATTTGCAGCAAGATTAAAAGTTTATCTAAACCCTAAAACAAACATATTGAAGCTTAGCAGTACTATGATGGGTTCTCGCTAGTTTTCTTTTTTGGGGATTTTATTCCCCTATTTCCACACTTCCTGTCTAGGGTGACAATGTGCACTCACTGTACTGTATCTATGGAGGAGCTGTGTCATCCTAGACTGCCTTCCCTGATTTGGACTACACCCTCCCCCCCATCATCTTCATAACATAGAGGGGAGTTAATTTGTAGTTCACTGTAGAAAACTGGGAAAGCTGATCGTTTCAAGTTTTAACTAAGTGCAAAGAAAGTTACAAGCACCCACTATTTCTGATAGCCCTAAAGAAATAATGTAGCCATAACATCTAAGGACTGGAAAGCAAAAATATATTACATTTAAAGCAGTGTAGCACCCTCCCAGGTAGGATGCTAGGATGTATATACAGTATTACTGTAC